AGGCCACAAAGACAAATGCAGGCGTTCCATGATGTATTATCAGAATGCAATATAAATGATATGGGTTTTGTGGGGGATAGATTCACATGGCGGAGGGGAGAAATCAGAGAAAGGCTTGATAGAGCTTTGGCTAATCCTCAGTGGGTTGACATGTTCCCTCATGCAGCATTGATAAATAGCGAGATGCCCAAGTCTGATCACAGACCGATCTTGCTAGACATGAGCTACTTTCGGGGAACTCAGGGAAGTGATAGTGGAGTAAAGAGGAGATTTGAGGCTCGGTGGTTGCAAGAGGAGACGGTTGAAGAAATCATCAAAACGTCCTAGGCAAGAGCATCATCCCGTGGAGAAGGGCCCAGGCTGATGGATAAAGTATCAGAAGTGCATGTAGAGTTGCATAGATGGGATAAGGAGGTTCTGAAGAGGCCTTCAATGAGAATTAAGGCTCTTGAAAAGGACCTAGAGCAGCTGCGGAGGGGCCCAATGAATGATAATAATATTGCGGCACAGAAGAAAGTCATGATCCGCATAGAATTGTTGCTAGAACAAGAAGAAATCCATTGGGTTCAGCGGGCGCGAGCGAATTGGTTGAAACATGGGGATAGAAACACCGGATTCTTTCACAATTATGCAACAAAGCGGAGGAGGAAGAATACAATAAAAGGGTTAGCCGATCAAAATAGACTAATGCAGGAGGAGGGGGAAGCAATGCGTAGCATTGTTCGGGAATACTTTGGTAACTTGTTTACTTCTGAGGTAGGCGAACCTGATCCAACCGTTCTCTCTGATGTTAGACGATGTGTGCCACATGATATGAATATAGGGTTGCTAGCTCCCTTTTCGCATGAGGAAATAAAAAAGCTCTATTTCAAATAGGAGACCTTAAAGCATCGGGGTCGGATGGTCAACATGCAGTATTTTTTAAGAGATTTTGGGATCTCTTGGGCGATAGCCTTGTGACAGAGGTCCTGGATGTAGTCAACAATTGTAAAATTCCGGACAGTTGGAATGATACAACAATTCTCTTGATCCCCAAGGTAAACAATCCCACTATGGTGTCTTAATTTCGTCCAATAAGTTTATGCAATGTAGTCTACAAAGTCATTTCTAAAATGCTAGCCAATAGATTGAGAGGGAACCTACCTGATATTATTAGCGATCACCAAAGTGCGTTTGTTCCTGAGAGATTAATTACAGATAACATTCTTATTGCCTATGAAAGCATCCATAGAATAAAGAAGAAGTGTGGTAAAAGAGGTCTCTGTGCTATAAAGCTAGATATGCATAAAGCCTATGATAGAGTTGAATGGATTTTTCTTGATAATATTATGCTTAAAATGGGTTTTCACCAGAGATGGGTGCAGCTAATCATGGCTTGCATGTCTTCAGTCAGATACAATGTCAGGTTTAACTCCATGGAGACGGGAGTGTTTACCCCAACACGTGGTATACGTCAGGGGGATCCTCTGTCTCCTTACCTATTTTTGGTTTGTCGCTGAAGGACTCTCAAGTTTGCTAAAAGGAGCTGAAGCAACGGGAGAAATAGAAGGAGTGCGGGTATGTCGGGATGCACCAGAGGTTTCTCACTTACTCTTTGCAGATGACTCTGATGCACGCCGACAAGAGGAATGCAGATAATTTGAAGAGCATCCTTGATAGATACTGCATAAACTCAGGCCAAATGATGAGTGATGCAAAGTCTAGTGTGTTCTTTAGTGAAAATACTCCTATATTAGATAAGCTGGAGGTATGTCAATCTTTGAATATTATGACAGAATCATTGAATGACAAGTATTTGGGTCTGCCGGTGTTGGTAGGGGTAGACCGCAGTGATTGCTTCCAACATCTAATTGATCGTGTCTGAGCCAAGACAAAGGGTTGGAAGGAAAAGTTGCTGAGTATGGGCAGAAAAAAAATTCTTATAATGTCTATCGCTCAAGCCGTGCCAGTCTATGCAATGATGGTTTTCAAAATCCCAAAAAGCATTTGTAAAGGGATTTCAGACACCATATCATAGTTCTGGTGGGGTGATGAAGATGACCATAAGAAGATTCATTGGAAGGCGTGGTGGAAGCTTTGCATTCCTAAGAAGAGAGGAGGTATGGGTTTCAGAGATTTGGAGAGCTTTAATCTTGCGCTTCTGGCCAAACAGATTTGGAGATTGTTGCTTGAACCGGATTCACTTTGTGCTAGAGTGCTAAGAGCAAGATACTATCCTGATGGAAAATTGTTAAATGCAAAATTAAAGAGTGGGAGTTCATATACTTGGCAAAGTATCCTGACGGGATTGGAGTGTTTTAAACATGGATATATTTGGAGAGTGGGGGATGGTTCTCAGATTAATATATGGGAGGACTGTTGGATTCCATTGAGCCATAATCTTAAAATTATGATACCAAGGGGAAACAATTTAGTCACCACTGTGGAGGAGTTAATCAATCTAGTGACAGGTTATTGGGACGAGGACCTGATCAAAGATTTGTTCTGGCCAATCGATGTTCACCGGATCCTACAAATACCATTATCTGTTGGTAGAGAGGACCTTATGGCATGGCATTATAACCGAAACGGTTTCTTTTCAGTCCGTTCAGCATATCATATACAATGGTTACGTAAATTTGGTGGTAACACACTATAAGTGCATGCAAATGGTGTGGGTGATATTGTTGTTTGGAGAAAACTCTGGCAATTGCATGTTGCGAGCAAGATCAAAAATTTTGGTTGGAGGGTCCTGCATGGCGCTATACCATGCAAAGGGATTCTTACAAACCGACATATAGAGAACTCAGGCAGCTGTCCAGCATGTCATGAGGGATGTGAAGATATTAAACACATTCTGTTCACCTGCAATCGTGTCAAAGGGATATGGCAATGACTTGTGTTTGGAACAAGATGGAGAGAGTTCTGGCATCAGATAGATCGGGGTCTGTTTTACTAGCAGATTTCATTAACAACTCTAGACCGGTTATGAATCTAAATCAGGTTGGTCTTGCTGAACTAATACTGACGGGAAGTTGGTATATTTGGTGGGAACGTAGGAAATTCGTCCACGGTGAGGCCATCCAGCAACCGATGCAGTCAGCTCTCTCAATTGCTTCTCTGATGACAAACTATAAAACTGCTATGAAGAAGTCTATCAAACAAAGAGAGGGATGGAAGAGACCGCCAGAAGGAAAGTTACTGATAAATATAGATGGAAGTTTTAGAGAGGAAAGCAGCAGTGGAGGTACTAGCGTGGTCATCAGAGACTCAAAAGGAACGTTCATTGCAGGATCTTGTAGCTATATGGAACATGTGGTGGACGCCCCCAACATCAGAGGTAATGGCGTTAAAGGAGGGACTTTTGTTAGCACAGCGGATTGGATGTAATGGCTTCATCATACAGTTAGACTGCATGGAAGTCGTGGAAACTATGAGACTTGGGATCTCGTCTGTTGCAGGTGCACCAATTTATGATGACTGTTTTCTCCTATGGCAAGACTTTGAAGATATCTCCATTGAGCATTGTGATTGGCGAATATAGTGGCACATGAAATAGCTAGAGTGGCTTTATCTTTGAAAGATATTTGTATTTGGGTCAATGACCCTAAATTTTCTTTTTAAAGCTATGATAAACGATGTAATTATGTTTGATAATCGTACGCCACATGGCTTTCCTAAAAAAAAAAAGACGGCTCTACAGCCTCTGCAGCCAGAGCATGTCTGCATGTGAATGACTCCCCTCGTCGTCGTCGGGAACAAGAACAAACACGCTATAAACCGTTTTTTCGATTCGGGAAAAAGAAAAAGAAAAAGAAAACGGCGACCAAATTCTGTACTCGTTTTTGACTCGTCAGTCAACCATGACTGCCAGTTGCCCTGCCCTGACGCCTGAGTAATGCCAATGGAGACTTCCAACTAAGGATGAAAACAGAACGGAAATATCCCGAACTGAGCCGCATCGTTTTCTATATTTAATCCGATCGAATCCGTATTTTCTTGTCCGACTTTACCGTTTTCGCTTTCGTATTCCAGATGTTTCGTATTTCAAATGTAAAAGTAGAAAACGGTTTAGATATTTTTCGACCGTTTTCTACTTTTCTACTTTTAATTTGAAATATTCCGAATTCAAAATTCGGTTTAAACCGAATTTGGCCAACTGCACAGGTTATACAGCCCAATTATAGGCTGCTCACCACGCAGCTGCGTTCTTTCTACTGATGGCCAGCTGCCCTCTCTTATAGACGACGCCTAGCCTCATCTATACGAATGCCCATCTGGGCCATAGCCCATCAAGCTCATCGGTTTAACCCCCACCTACGAAGTCAATCATTTGATAGTTTTTGCCTCAGTCGAATAAATCCTTGTTACTCAAAAGAAAAATCTGAATAAACCTTTAAAATAAAATACTACATCTATTTAAAAAATTAATAAAATTATCCTGACTCAGTTCGAGTTCATGTTTCTATAACATCTAATTTTAGTTCAGATTCTAAAATGGTATGCTAGTTGCTACATCTAATTTTAATTCCTATTATCCTGCTAGCTACTAATTGCTTGTTCTAGACTTGTATTTATGTGTCGGCTATTGTGTTAAATACCTAAGATCAAGGATCATGCATTTGTTAATTATTATATGCACTTGAACTTGATCATGTATGTACTTAGTCATGCACTTGGTCCTACGGGTCGGTATTCCGTATTGAGTTTTCGTATATCGACCGCGTTCGACATAAATCCGCTTGAATTGGTTCGTTTTCGGAATTCTCGATATTTCGTAAGTTCGCGTTCGTTTTCGTGTCCGGCTTTACCGTTTTTGCTTTCGTTTTCGTATTTTAAATGTAAAAATAGAAAACAATTTATGAGTTTTTCGACCGTTTGCCACCGTTTTCATCCTTACTTCCAACTGCGGGCAGGACGCCTTGGCCGGGAGAAGGCACCCTGGTAAAGGAAGCCAGTGCCCACTACGCCGCCGGTCCGTGGCGATGCGTAAACAAGGCGCCCCTCCTCTGCCGCTGCCGATGCTCGCCGGCCGCTATACCATCATCATCGTTGTCTTCGCTTTCCTGCTGCTGCCGGCGCCACTGGCCGTGGAGAACCCGCCTTATGAATCCTATTGCGACGGCAACGGGTACGCGGTCAACAGCACGTTCCAGGCGAACCTGAACCTTCTCACCGCAGCGCTCCCCGTCAACGCCTCCATCTCGCCGGCGGGCTTCGCAACCGCCGGCTTTGGCTCGGCGCCCGACCAGGCCAACGGGCTGGCGCTTTGCCGCGGCGACACCAACGCCTCCACCTGCGCCGCCTGTGTCGCGGCGGCGTTCCAGGACGCGCAGCAGCTCTGCCCGCTGTCCAAGGGCGCCACCGTGTACCGTGACGCCTGCGTCCTCCGCTTCGCCAGCTGGCCGTTCTTGGATTTCCTCCAAGAGGGCCAGTGGCTTGTGCCGGAATTGTTGTATGAGCTATTCACCTCAAAATTTCAATTTTTTTTCTTCACATCAATTGCTTCCAGTTTGAGATAAACGGCTTACAATTTTTGCGACTTGTGACAAGTCCTTCGATTTTTAAGGGCCCAGGGAGCGTCAACGCCTCGGATGCCTGGTTCAGCGCCGCCGTCACGGGGATCTTCAGGGCCCTAGTCGACCACGCGATGGCGACGAGCAACGCGACGAGGAAGTACTTCGCCACGGGTGAGATGGACTTCGACCCCAAGCTCTATGGGCTTGCGCAGTGCGCGCCGGATCTCACGCTGGCGCAGTGCCGGGACTGCCTCAGGGACCTCGCGACAATACTGACGACGCAGTATTTGAGCGGGCGGCCGCCCTCGATTAGCGCTTTCGTGGTGTGGTGCTCCCTGATATGCAGCGTGTCGCCGGTCTACGACGGCCGGGCGATGTTGCAGCTTGCCGCGCCGCCGGTACCACCACCATCGACCACTCTCACGCCCCCTTCTTCAGGTCCGGAGCAAATAGGACCCTCAAGTCTTGTTATCCTGAACATTTCTTTGAGTCATCACGTTAATTCTCACGTATCCGAATTCATCAAATCATGGCTCCTGACTTCGTCATAAATGTTGCTAGTTCAGTCATCCCTGTTTGCTTAAACTTAGCAGTCATACCATTTCAGCGAAATAACGGTGTTTTTCTCTCACAACAAATTAGCATCAGCATCAGCCGTTTTTCCAGCCAGCCGAACAGGGCACTGTACTACTGAACCTTGTGTTTGGAACATGCAGGGAGGAAAAGAAGTGCAGCTGTAATTTCTGCAGGCGTAGCCTGTTCCATTGCGTTAATGTTGATTATTTCAGCTATTTGTTTCCTTCGATTCCAGAGGAGAATTAACTCGACAGAGAACAATCATCGTGAGTAACAATGTGGTATTTGAATTCACTGTTTACAGTGTTTCCATGAGCTTGAATTTACTATTTCCTTAATAAATTCTTGCCATATGACACCCTAACAGCACTGAAGAAGATAGGGAGAGCACAATGCACGATCTTTGATTTGCCAACATTGCAAGAGGCGACTGAACACTTCTCAGAGAAGAATAAGCTAGGAGAAGGTGGCTTTGGTACTGTATACAAGGTAAGTAAGCGAGCGAGGACACATGAGGGAAAGAGAATGTAGTAATATCGCACTTCTCTGAAAGATAATTTTGTTTCAGGGGATCCTCTCTGATGGGCAAGAGATAGCAGTCAAGACACTCTTAGGAAGAACCGGGGACGGGTTGCAACAACTACACAATGAAGTGCTGGTACTGGCAGAGCTTCAGCACAAGAACCTTGTTAGGTTACATGGGTTTTGCTTGCATCAGAGTGACACACTGCTGGTTTATGAATACATCAAGAATGGGAGCCTCGACAACTTTCTATTTGGTATTTTCTTCTTCATTCACCTCTTTAGTCGCATAACCAGAATTTTCTGGTTTAGAAAATGTAAACTGCACTGTCGCTTTTCATGAATCCTAGGGAATTTTTATGTTCTATGCATGAATTTTGTTGAGCAACTAGTAGTAATAGATGAATACGATGATAATAATTTGCCTATTGATATAAAGTATATATCAAAAATAAAGTTAAAATCTAAGTATACACTGCAATATCATACTACTGCAAATCGATATCCGATTTCCACCAAATTAAGTTACAGAGTATTACCGCAGTAACGGTTTATACTTTTTTTTCTGAACTTTTTCGATAAGTGAGTGGTCATTATAATAGTAATAGTAGGATATTAATTTATATCGACTTGTAGATATTCTATCAGTATTCAGTAACAACCAATATTAGCTGATATGGTCACAACAGATGATAGCAACGGAAATGCACTTAACTGGGAGCAACAGTACAACATCATCATTGGAATTGCCAAGGGGATATTGTACCTCCATGAGGACTCGAGCATGAGGATCATCCATCGGGACTTGAAGGCAAATAACATTCTTCTGGATGACAACATGGAGCCCAAAATCGCAGATTTTGGGTTGGCAAGGCTTATTGGAGAAGGCCACACCCATACTCAGGCATCCAGAGTTGTCGGAACATTGTAAGCTAAGCTCATGAACTTGATACAGCCTCAGGCATCACGCTTGAATCCATGTGAGTGTCCAGTCCTTGCTAACTGAAACTGAACTACTTCCCATCCTCTGCAGCGGCTATATGGCGCCAGAGTATGTAATGCACGGTAGGGTGTCGCCCAAGATTGATGTCTTCAGCTTCGGTGTGTTGGTCCTTGAGATTGTGACCAGGAGAAGCAACTGCAGTTCTGATGACCACAGCACTGTCAATCTCCTTAGTGATGTAAGTGAAGTTCCGAGTTTGCATATCTTTTTTTTACTGAATATATAAATATATACTAAAACATTCATATCATCGTGTCTGAATGTGGAAAGCACTCCCTAATTTGAATTGACAAACTATAAAATGGTACTCCCGTCATCTAACAGGTCTGGGATCACTGGTCCAAAGGGACGATGTTGCAAATGCTTCACCCATCGCTGGATGAGGTTGCTCAAAGCCAGGCGCTACGATGCATCCACATCGGTCTGCTGTGCGTCCAGTCGAAACCTGAGGACAGGCCTGACATATCAGTCGTGGTATTCATGTTAACCAGGGATAGCATGGGGCTCCAGCCGCCGTCACAGCCTGCATTCTTCTTTGGTAGAGAATCACCTTCAGCTTTAGGGTCAGATGCTCGAAGCAGCTATACATACGAGCGGTCTGGTTTCATATTGGGACAGGGTATCTCTGTGAATGAGATTACACTCAGTGAACTGTACCCTAGATAGGATCAAAGTTGGATAAAGAGTACATGGTATACAGCTGAAACTCTACGAGATTATCACTTTGCTTAAATTGTGAACTCTACGAGTGCCCAAACTGGCATGCAGCGCTACGAGCAGCCTCCCAGCCGCCCCCGCCCCCGCCGCCGCTCACGCTCCAGGCGCCCCCGTCCACCCCCGCCGAGCGCCGCCGGCACCAGCTGCCCCGAACAACGGTGGTAGGCCCAAACAGCACAACACCAACTGAGAGTAGGCGCGCCCTCAAATGAACAACCCTTGTAGATTTCTGGCGGAAAGTCAGAAATGCAGATGAACACAAGGGCAAAATGGTCAGAGTAGGTCAAAAGTTGAGGTGAAAAAGATTAAAAGCTGGCTTAACTCTCAAAATTCAAATTTAACATAAAAGTAAGCAATAATTTTTAGCACAAGTGTACAATTGTTGATGAACTACAATGTACACATATAGTCCCACTACTACAGTATTCTTACCTAAGGTGGGCGTTTTGGATTTTCGGAGGTGGGCAAAACGTCCGCCTCCGTCAAAAGGTGTTGCAGGTGGCCAAATGCCCGCTTGCGAAAATAAATAAATAAAAAAAAAAGAAAAGCCCGTCGACTGAGCCCGACTGGATCTGGGCCTACTGGGCCCAGACGCGTCGTCGTCGTCGCCATCGTTCCTGCATGGGCACGCAGCCGGATCTGGTGGTGGAGGTCGCCGCCATGGGAGGAGGCCGGGTGTCACCGCCGAATCCGCCCTCTCCCGCCATCGCCCGCTAGATCTGGTGGTGCAGGTCGCCGCCGGGGGAGGAGGTCGCGGGCCGCCGCTGGATTCAGAGTTGCGCCGTCATCCGGCCGCGGCCTCCACCACCAGATCCGGCTGCACCACCAACGCATCCGCCATCGGTAGCAGCGGCACAGCCACTGCCTCCGCGTGAGCTCTGCCTGCTGGGCTCCGGCGACACGAGATCCACCGCCTGGGATCCGGATCTGCCGTTAGCCGTGCAACGGGAGAGAGAGAGAGGACGCATGGATAGTCATATGTCAAGTTGAGAAGTCAAGGGAGACGAAACGTTTGTTTCATTTGCTTGGCTTGTCCTAATAACGTGCTTTTATTATTGCCACTTAAACGAGGGTACACGGAAATGAAGAAGAGGACGACGTATTGGAGTTATTGTTTTGTCAAGAAGTTTGACTTAGAAAATAAATTAATTAAGCGAAATATATAATTTCCCTGCCGTACAATGCATGTGTGACTATAATAGTCACATGTCAAGTTAATTAAGCAGTTGGGCGAAACGACACGTTTGTTCCATTTGCTTGGCCTGTCCCAACGTGCACTATCATCGCCTCTTGACCGAAGGCACACGAAAATGAAGGAGAGGACGACGACATATTTGGAGCTGTTGTTTTGTCTCGTGGAACAATTAAATAAACAGTTTTTTTTGTTATTAAAGAGAAACGATTTTTGGAGGGGAGGCGCGTCGACCCGCTGCGTGGGGGAGGAGGGGCGCAAGCCGAGGGAGAGAGAGTTGTGAGAGAGAGACTGTGTGGACGAACCCTAACTCCTCAGTTTATATAAGCCCGGTTCCAGGTAGAGAGTTGGATGTGGGCTTTAGCTGGGCCTTAGAAATATTTACGGAGGAGGGCCTTTTAAGAGGTCCACCTCCGAAAATGGTCTCTATTTTTTGAGACGGATCTCTTAAGTGGCCCGCCCCCGTAAATCAATTTTAGGAGGCGGGCAATTTCTGACCGTCTCTGTAAATAAAACGTTCGCCTGTAAATGCATTTTCCGAGATAGTTAATTGCGATCGCCTCCGTAAATGAAAACATCTGCCTGCAAAAATCCTCAGGCATTTTACGAGACTGTTGGATTTTGTGACCCCTTCCGTTAATGTTTGAGCAGTGTCTCACAAAATTACTTTGTAGTAGCGTCCATCATTAATGCTCTAGCACAAATATAAAAAAACACAATGTACAACAATTACAACATAAATTTTAGTGATATATAGGTACATGCACAGAAAACAGAACGAGGATGCAGGGATCGGGACAGGGGATAGAGAACCATCCTTGTCCCCACCAACCCTATCAGGATGTTTTTTTCTTGTTTAAATCCCCATGGGGAAGAATTGACCCCGTCTTTGTCCTCTAATAGCTAGAGGAATTCCCGTGGGAAATCGAGGATCAGGGCCCCCATTGACATCCCTAATTGGGAAGAATGGAAAGCTCGATGATGAGTTGATGACACGATGGAAGGTGTTGTAGGGTGTCTAAAGGAATTGTTACCGCTAGACCTCCGCAAAACATTGATGGGATTAAAAGGTCGTGCCTTCTAGGGCCTCGTGGCAGAGGTCTCTTTACCTCTTCATGATGGGCCACATAGGGGTTTGGCGTTGATGTGGTTGTCTATGTTGTTGTTTGATGTTGCGATTGGTTGTGTTGTCTTAGGCATAGCATTTGATATCGTGACGGGTTTGTGTACTGAGTTGTTTTAGCCCTTTTTGGTTCCTATGTGTGCATCATCGATGGCATGGATAGCGAGGAACGGAGGAAGTATATAGACTACGCGGTGGTGTTGACAGCGTGTATATGTGTTGCACGTGCTCCTGTTGTAAGTGTTAACAGAACCGTCATGTTCGCTTGGCTTATAAACCGTACTTTTTCAGCCAACGAACAGTATTTTTCTCTTACAACAAATCAACCAACAGTACTTTCAGCCATGGCTTATCAGCCAAGCGAACAGGGCAAACATGTATATGCATGTGTTGTACCGGCCTGTACGTGCTCTTGTTGTACTCGGAGTATAGTTCAAGATCCTAAGAGCAACTTGTGGCTTGTATACTACTTGTATAAAAACAAGAGCTCATGATTGGGTCATCTCATTCTCATTTGCCTATGGCCCTGTTCGTTTTGCTGAAAAACCATGGCTGAAAGTACTATTCGATAATTTGTTGTGAGAAAAAAACACTATTCTTTCGCTGAAATAGTACGGCTCATTAAACAAACAAACAGGGATAATTTGGACTCCTTCGGTACGGCGTCATCACTCGTCAACGTCGTCATAGACCGATAGACGGAGTACAATCCACACGATAATAAGAAAGCAGCTGATGAGCGGTTGTACAGCATTATTGGGCCCGTTCGCTGGTCTGAAACTTGGCTGAAAAACACTGTTCCTGCTGAATTGTTGTGAGAGAGAAACACTGTTGGCTAGTTTGATGAACAGTGGAATGGGAGGGGAACCAGCCGGCTGAACTTTTCAGTTCAGACCAGCGAACACTGCCATTATTAGCGGTGACGTTCAACGTTGACATGATGTCGTACTGATCTATCAGAGGGTTTTAAGAGTAAGGAGGACCCGCGCTCGGTCGATTTGCCGGTGCCGGGTTTTATTATTATCTATACTTCGTCTTAATACAGAATAAAATTATCCTCATATCCCTGTATACTTATTACTTAGGTATACTATTAGCATCGTCGTCTTCAGACCTCAGTTTTTTTTATTGTTGCTTCTTCCGTTGATTAACCGCTCGATGGGAGCACACAGTTTCCGACCTCTGCAGCAGAACAACAACGGGTCAGGGCTCAGACAAGAGCTTGGGGGCAGGGCAACAGCACAACATGACGAGTATAGATAAGTAAGAAAGCCAGTTGACTCACTGGGTTGCTGGTATACAACAGAGCCGGCACCAGAGAAGTCGCAGGTCCCGCTTGCCCGTCCCTTGTGCTGGTAGTAGCTGTTGAACGCGTACGAGGCGTGCGAGGCCTTGGTGTCGGGTTGGAAGCACTGCCCGCCGGGCTGGATGGCGCTACAGTCGGCGCCGTTGCCGCAGGCGTAGTCCAGGGCATTCTGAAGCCGCGCGTCCCCGACCGCCGCGTTCGCCACGCACCAGCTCGCCGTCGCGTCGCAGGTGCCTGTCACAGTGATCAATCGATCGATTGTAAGTATCGCGCATCTCTCTTGCCTATACATATATATACTCCACTTATTACCGGCTGGTTGCTGGTGGTAGACGATGGAAGCGGCGCCAGAGAAGTCACACGTCCCACTGGCCCGGTTCTTGCGCTGGTAGTAGTCGTTGAATGCGTACGACGCGTGCGCGACCTTGGTGTCCGGCTGGTAGCACCGCGCGCCGGGCTGGATGGCGCTACAGTCGGCGCCGTTGCTGCATGCGTAGTCCAGCGCCGCCTGCAGCCGCGCGTCCCCGACGGCAGCGTTCGCCACGCACCAGCTCGGCTTTGGGTTGCACATGTCTGTCGATCGTCGCGGCGGTAAAACATGGGACATCAGTTAAGGATAGTACTCACACTTAGTTCTTCTGTGCAGCTGATTGGAGCTTAACTAATCTCTATCTATAATTAAGCTAAGGGTATTTTCCTGCAGTTGATCTTCTGACTGACCAACAAGTTAAACTAATTTGCTTGGTCCCATATGCATGCATGCATGATGTCTTGAGAGACAACCAGGAAGCAGGACGAAGCAGATTTAGGAGCGACTTCACTACCTGGTGCCTGGTAGACGATGGAGGCCGCGCCGCTGAAATCACACGAGCTGGGGGTCCGGCCGTTGAGCTGGTAGTAGCTGTTGAACGCATACGTGGCATGCGCGACCTTGGTGTCCGGCTGGAAGCATGACCCGCCGGACTGGATGGCGCTGCAGTCGGCGCCGTGGCCGCACGCGTAGTCCAGCGCCGCCTGCAGCCGCGCGTCCCCGACGGCCGCGTTCGCCACGCACCAGCTCTGCTGTGTTGTTGGAGTCGGTGGTGGGGTGACGGTGCCGCGGAAGTTGAACTCGTACACCTTCTGCATGTTGGGGTAGAAGAGGCCGAAGTGCTGCTCGACGTCATCTGCCCCGGTGCCCTTTTGGTCCTCGTTGAACAGGGCGAAGATGTACACGTTCATGTCAGCGTTTGGGCGGTACGGCGTGCCGGTGTTTCCGGACAGCACGCGGTTCATGAGGTTATTGATGTAGGTTTGAGCGTTAGCTATGGTGGCCACTCCTCCGGCCTGTAAAAGCCTCCTGTGGCCGCCGCCACCGCCGCCGCCATTGAGTTGCCCCCCTGAAGGCGCGCCGTTCTCCGTGTGGTACACGTCCAAATTGGATGCCCCCTGCTTGTCCATCGCGTAGTACGTGGCGTCACGCTGGGCGTCCAGGAGCAGTTTGTCCATCGCGTAGTACGTGGCGTCGCGCTGGGCGTCCAGGAGGCTGCTGTACTTGAGCTGGGTGTTGGGGTCTACCACGCCGGGGTTGTTGGGGTTCCCCAAGACGTAGTCGAGGTTGAAAGTGTTTGGCTGGGCCATGTAAGTCAGGTAAGGGTAGTAATTGACGGAGAGGTAGGAGCCCGTCTGCTGCAGAAACTGGAGCATGGGTTTCATCACCGGCTCCGCGATGTCGTCGCTGAACGCGCCCGACGACGGCGGCCAGGACACGGCCACCGCGTTGAACGCGATGGGCGTGGTCACCTTGATGGCGTCGGCCAGGTTCAGCTGCGCCAGCGCCTTCTGGATGTTGGTCATGGCCGGGACGAGGTTCAAATTCTGGTCGGGCTTGGTGTTGAACACCTCGTTGCCCACGGCCACGCCATGTATCTTCGTGGCGGGGTAGTATGCCGCCACGTTGCTCTTCACCCACTGGAGCGCGTAGCCTGAGCTGGAGGCGGCGTCCGCCAGGTTCTCGTTGGGCACCATCACCATCACCTTGATGCCGGTGTTGGCCAGCGAACTAAGCACGTTGGAGTTGGCGTCGTATATCCTCACCATGGTGATGCCGTTGTCTCCGAGCAGCTTCACCACCGACGACGGGTCCGGCAGGTCGTTCGCCACCGTCCCGTAGCTCACGCCCAATTCACTCGCCACTGCAATTATATATTCACAGCATATATATATATATATATATATATATATATATATATATATATATATATATATATATATATATATATATATATATATATATATATATATATATATATATATATATATATATATATCATCAATAACTAGCTAGCGCTAGATGTAGAACAACAAAGTGTTTAATTTGTGTGGCGTGCATGATCAATTATTATTAACCTGCAGGCAAGGGGGAGAATAATAAGAGCAGCGGAAATGCAGCGCCCACGAGGACAAGGAGGAGGCGAGTGAACGCCATGCGATGCTGCTGCAGCTGCCAAGGGTTGGCAAGTGGAAGACGATGGAGAAGACTGTGCGGGACAAGCGAAAGGGTGCGTGGAAATTTATAGCCGCGCTGCACTGGCAAGTGGCAACGAACGGAGTATCGAGTCCAGCCTCGACGTGCGGCGCTGCCGCTGCGTTTTGGGTCGTCCCGTCTCCCGTGCCGTGCCGCGGGTGCCATAGCCCGTTGGTGCAGTACTAGGACGCATCATCTTCTGACGTGATCATGATCGCAAATTGTATTGTGAAGCATCACGGCTGCTGCGCGCGCATGGAGCCACACGTCCGTGATGTCTGACTCTGACAGGGACAGGTCAGGTCAACTGTGACAATGGTCATGCGTTCTCTACCACTCGAAATGCTTCGCCTCACATTGGATCTGCACTTCACTATGTGGCCCCTCTTTGTTGAATCACCCCGGCTCCACTATCAGCCGGATACCAGTTCACTGTTATAATAGCTTCATCACCGTCCAACTAGAGCTCGGTCACAACTGATTTTGCTCAATCACGGTAAAAGTGGACAGTGATTAGGATTTTCTTCATCACTGGTTTAATCGTGCCTGTCGCCGTTCGCACCGTCCTGCTGTCTACGCCACCGCTTCCGAGCTCGTCCTCGTGCAGATCCGTCCCTACTGAGCTCGTCCTCGAGCAGATCCGCCGCCGCCACGCCATCAACCGTCACTGAGCACACCCTCCCATTGAGCTCGCCCTTTAATAAGATGCACCGGCATCGTGCCATCACCCGCTGCCAAGATAGGATAGTAGGAGGGGCGCAGAGGGATTGGAGGAGGGGCGTGAGTGGGGAGAGGGGAAGGAGATGGTAGTGCCGACGATGACGATGGAGGAGGGGCGCGGGGCGAGGCAAGGGAGGAGAAAGAGGGAGAGAGAGAGAGAGAGAGAGAGAGAGAGAGAGAGAGAGAGAGAGAGAGAGAGAGAGAGAGATGTGGCAGCTAAGGGAGTGGCAAGGGAGGGTTAGGGATGGACTTGACCGGATTAAGCCACAAAACCAGCGGTAAAAATCATTATCATCGCCGGTTCCATTATGGACCGACAGTGATACAAATCAACGGTGATGACATATCACCTCGATTTTAATACAACCTGAAGTGAAAATAGCATTGGCAAAAACATATTATATAATAGTGGTTTGGGATTAGAGTGAGCAGTAGCGGAACACCACAGGTTATTCTCCTTGAAGACTCTGTCAAGACTCATGGATTAGTCTCAAGTCCCTTACCATACCGCTGCCTGCCCTTTACTCACATATTTATGATGCCTTATGCCCTGACCTGAATATTCACTTTCACACCCTCGTTTGACAAATGTTGCTATGTACTCCTATTTCGTAAAGAGTGGCATTCACACTTCCTGAGAAGTAAAAAAAAATCTCAACTTTGACTAAATACATACAAGTGACTATTAATATTTATGGTGCATAATAAGTTATTGCTAATATTAGATGAATTGGTCAATATATTTCTATAATAACTTATTGGAAGACACAATTATTGTAAATATTTTTTATAAATCTAATCAAACTTAAGAAAGTTTGACCTATACAAAATCATAGGCGACTTTCTTAAGAAAATTTGACTTGTACAAAATCCTAGACGACTTTCTTTTTGAGACATAGGAAGCATGAGCTTTCTGTGCTTCAGGACGCCCTTGCAATTCCAAATGTCTCCTTTGGTGAGCTTACTGATGAACGTTACGTTCCTGTAGCTCGAACGCTCCTTGGGTGATACTGCTCGCTGCAGCAACATTAAGTTTTCCAGTTTTGCATGGCTGCAAAAAAACTGTAGACTGTGCTAGAAAAGCAGCTGCTGCTGCAACTACTGAATAAGCGTTGGCCTGGCGGAGAAAGGGTTGGAATAAACGTCAGAGCGAACGTTACTACTGTAACCTCGTCTGTCCCTATAGCCTGGCTGTGGAGGAAGGTTGGTCTGGTGGCGGTAATTGGTGATGGATGATGTGTTGCGGCAGTGGAGCCCAAACATTGATTTTTGATAATGGAAAATTTCGGGGTTTTTTTTTAAAAGTACCAGACTATACTTAATACAAGCACATGCACAAAAAATTAAACTTAATTCGAAACTAAAATCTATGATGATAACTGAAAGATCGTCCCTTGGACACTAAGAATTGCATGGCTCTTGATTCCAGTAGCCTATATCACTATATGTCCTGTGAACCCATTCTTTACCTTCATCTTAGCACTGTAATAGAGCCATTGTTTAGTTCGCGAAATTTGGAATTTGGGGCTACTGTAGCACCTTCGTTTTTATTTGGCAAATAATGTCCAAACATTGACTAATTAGGCTTAAAACGTTCGTCTCGCAATTTTCCACCAAACTGTGCAATTAGTTTTTCTTTTCGTCTGCATTTAATGCTCCATGCACGGACCGCAAACATTCGATGTGACAGGTACTGTAGCAACTTTTTGGACTTTGGGGTCCAACTAAACAAGGCGAGAGTCTAAAATCAAAACCAGTATGTCGCTATGAAAAGAACCTGTAAAAAAAAGTTTTTTGTTTGACCTTTACAAACACCATGTCATTCTTTGAGATCCAAATAGCCCAACAAAAGCTGCTACACCAAATAATAATAAATGATTATATTGGCAACCACCCAATTTGACCAACTACTAAAAAGACGATAGTTATCTTGTGGTAGTTGAATGCCAAAACAAAATAAACACAACATGCTATAGGAAACAAGCATGATCATAATCCAAATTTCGTAAGCATGGGTTGAAGACTTGGACTTTGTTCAGTTTGATCGTAGTCCAAAATTTGTCCCAGCAATACCTGAAGTATAACAAGTATGTAGCACCACCCAATAGGTCTACTACCGAATTCAATGCTTCTATATATTATGGATGCATTCCATGATGAGTCGTCCACAACTCTTTTCTCTAGCTTGGAGCTAGAAAATTTAGTATTTCTACACATGCATTTGTAGTCGTTTTGGTTGCTCTCTTTAATTATTTAGGGCACTCTCAACCTAGAAATCACATAGTTTCTATGTCCATTAATAGGATGCTAACTAAGTAGAAAAGATGATGTGAAATTAAAGAAAAGAGAGAGAAGAAAATGATTTCTTAATAAGAAACCATGTCTACATGGGAACTAAGACATGAAGAGATGTGATAGGTCAATGAGTGAGAGAAGACATGTGATTGGACAAAAGATCATTGTATAGAAACTATCTATTAGAAACATAGTTTCTACATGTAGTGTCTACGCAAATTAAATAGATATAGAAACTAGCTGTGGTTTTTAGCATTGAACTGCCGTGATGGATAATATTATTTGTATTCAAACGATGGACTTCATTTATTATCTATCAGTGAACATGGCTATTTATTGGTCGAAAAATGATATTTATTTATGAATATATGTGTTTTTGTTTCCTCTACTAAATTATTTATAACTATAATAATTTATATCATATTTCAACTGATTAGAGATGAAAATGGAATATATTTCCCGAAATTGGTACGTTCCGAAAGGGTTCAGATACTATTATTGTGGTCCTTGCATGTACACAGGCATTTTTCTTCATATTTGTTCTTTAACCAGTTCTAAATTAGTGCGTTGAACGAGATGTTCTTGTTGCATGACGGAGGCGTCATGTTGCCGTCATTCGCCAAACTTTATCTTCGTCCAAGATTCTTCTTCCACGGTCACGGGCCCACGGCCTATGACCTATTCCTTGTCTTGTACGGACCCAATTGCCTTGCCTTGCCAAATAATCCTTCCCCGATTCCCACGCACAGGCAACTTGTGAATTGACCTTCTGCTTCTGCCGTGTCCCAGCGGAACTGGCGATTTCGATGGCTGACGCAGCACCGAGGAAGAATAGAAAAACAAAAACTCTGGGCAGAAAGCTAAATGGGCCCGAGACAACAGAGAGAGCAGATTCTTCGAAAACTGTGCGAGACTAGCGCCGAACAATCACTAGCTATTCATTTTTCAGCCCCCTCTCTCCTTCTGGCACTCAAATCACGTCCAAATCTCTTTGGCCTGGTTTAGATTGAGGTTAGAAATCAGTATTCGATACTGTAGTACTTTCGTTTGTATTTGATAATTATTGTCCAATCATGATCTAATTAGGCTCAAAAGATTCGTCACGTAATTTACAATTAAACTATGTAATTAGTTATTTTTTTATCTACATTTAATACTCCATACATGTGTCCAAAGATTTGATGTGATAGAGAGAGTAAAAAAACTTACAATCTAAACCAGGCCCTTGTTGGGACGCCCTTACAAGGAGAAAAGCTGAAAAGCCAACGACTTGACTTGACTCCACAGCCTTTATTCCAAATATATGGTTGGTTAGGCAAGAGTCTTCTTCGTATGCCTTCAAGAAACACTCGTTCAGTCCACTAGACCTGACCACAATTAAGGCCCCGTTCGCTTCTCTTAAAAATAACTTGTTCGGCTTCTTTTTTTAGCCGAAACAGTGTTTTTCTCTCACAATAATTCAGCCGGAACAGTGTTTTTCAGCCAGTTTCAGCCAAATTTCAGACCAACGAACGGGGCCTAAGGCCTTATCTTGAATTGAGGGTTTCCAAAGGAAAAGTAAAGGAATAGATTTTTTTAGGAATGTTTTCTTTACTTATTGTGTTTAAAGGAAATCTGTATTTTTTTCTAGAGAAAAGGCTAACCTTGCTTCATAAAATACAAGAAAAAAGAACATCCAAGGAGACCCAAATGAAAAATTCCTGCAATGTTTTCTTCAAGTTCTAAAGCCTGAAACTTTGCTGCTTGGCCACATGTTACATTCATATTTTCCTACTATTTAAACACCCCAAAGTTTCTATTATTGTGTTTTGAAATTGTATAGTTTTTTTTTACCTTTTGCTCTATTCTATTCTCACGATTCGAAAGAAGAAAAGGACAGGAACATGGAAAGATGGTACGGTTAGGAAAGAACCCCCTTGCAATTTTTTTTTGACAACATAACCCCC